CCTACCCTCTAATGACTGTACACATGTCCTACCCTCTAATGACTGTACACATGTCCTACCCTCTAATGACTGTACACATGTCCTACCCTCTAATGACTGTACACATGTCCTACCCTCTAATGACTGTACACATGTCCTACCCTCTAATGACTGTACACATGTCCTACCCTCTAATGACTGTACACATGCCTTACCCTCTAATGACTGTACACATGTCCTACCCTCTAATGACTGTACACATGTCCTACCCTCTAATGACTGTTCTCGCGACATCTCGTGTGGTGCGGGTCAGGACGAGACTTGTAACTCCTGTGATTAGCGAGGAGAGGACAGTGAAGCTAATGAGCACCTTCGGTCAGTCACGCACTCACACCCACCATCACACGGCTAAGTTGGTCGGTCCATGGCAAGCCATCCGTCACTAGAGTCTCTGTGTGTGTGTGTGGGGGGGGGGTGTGGTGTGTGAGGGGTGGGAGCCTGGCTGTTATGTGTGTAAGTTGCTGGCGTGTCACGTGACTTAAGTCAGTTACTGGTCAGTTCACATCTTCTGGCCAAATAAAACCACATCATCATGGTCTCTGGTCTACAGTTCGTTAGTGTAGTCCATACACGTTAGTCAGACCAGTAACATGCTGGTAAAGATTTTTTTTATTTATTATTTTATTTTTTATTAAAAAGATGTTTCGTATATTATTTTTTTAAATCTATTTTTTTTTATTTTAGAGGATATAGTTTTTATTTTATTTTGAGATAATTTAAATTTCTTTTAAAAATTTTTGTTTTTAATTTATACTTATTTATAATATTTTTTTTGTTGACAATGTTGCCTTTTACCAAATTATATTTGAGAGCATAATTTTTGTATCTTTTTTTTTACTACTTAACTTCTGACAATATTTTCTGGCTTTATTTGTGTAGACAACTACATTCATGTGTATGTCGGATGTTCACAGTGGGGGCTATAAACACACATTGGAGCAAGTGTGTAGTCGAACACCATAACCAGTGTTTCTTTCAGACTTTTTTTCTCCGGGGGGGGGGGGGGGGGGTACTTGACATTTTCGGGGGTAGGGCGGACTAAATTTTCCGGAGGGCGGACACTGGCAAAAATTTTAAATTTATATATAAAGAGATTCGTGTAAGAAACTCTGACCATAACAATAACAGCAACTACAACAGCCACAGTAACACAAACTCTGACTGTTATCCGGTTCCCTCCCCTCCATGGGCAGCCATTATCAAACCACATCCTGCATTTTACCACATCTACTTTAGCAACTTCAAAAGTATATATCCCTCTCCCCTTCACCCTCCATACCAGGATAATCTTGCACCTTTCACGTGAATCTAATTTAAAAGCAAATCAATTAATCCCCGCCATAGCATGTTACTTTGTCTCCTACTTTACTTTAGCCTTTTGATTCCGTCACCATTTTTCTCTCCAAGTTTATGAGGGTTGGTACCCTTTCATCAGTAGCCAACTAGAGCCTTTGATTTCTTTAAGCGTCTGCTCTAACACCTCACCAAATCAAATATAGCCGTGCTAGCATGTAGCAGGTAGCAATTGAGCTGTCTGCCCGGTGAAGTGGTGTTTTGATGGTGTTTTGGTGGTGTTTTGGTACTAGCGTGTACTGACTGTCTGTTTAGTGACAGGTGACACGAACTATCGACGTCATCAAAGTCCCAGGTACATCAAGTAAAGCTGTCACAGTCACTACTAAATTGACACTAAAACTACTTTTTACCTTAATCCAATAAATATATGCGTTTCTAGGGATTACATTTTTTATTCGAAAATAGAGCTGAATTTTCTTAATGAGGTAGCGCAAACTAAGTTATCAATCCTAAGTGCATTGAAGACTAGAAAACCCTATCTGTTCCATTAAGTGTCCAGTCTTTATAGTTAGCAATAAAATATACATTCATAAAGGTCTGTAATATGCGCGAATAAAAATAGGCTTAATAAAAAATAATGTGATGCCTCCCTATCCCCATGAAGACAATAGCTATTTTAGTTACAGACGAAAACATCGACATAGGGTGACATTTGTTTTTGTTTTAGATTTGAGACATATCTAATTCACTATTTATACTATTTTTTCGTGTGTGGAAATTAATTTAAAAATGTAATTTCGAGTATTCAAATTGTCTTTTAAAAGAAGAAATAAGCAAAATTTTAGTATAAAAAGATGTATATAAAATTGCCGTGAAACATCACATATTTTTAAATGTTATATATATATATATATATATATATATATATATATATATATATATATATATATATATATATATATATATATATATATATATATATATATATAAGAACGATGCAAAGATAACCTCAATATACTGAAAGTTACAAGTATTAGAGTTTAAACACACCAAGTAACACACAACCCATCAACACCAACACACCAAGTAACACAGACAAATGTTCAGCCCTAAATCTGCCAGACCCCCCACCCTCCCACCTACATCCCCACCCCTCCCTCGTCTGACAGACCAGACTATCGATCTACCCACCCCCTATCAACACAACCTCTCAAAGGTGATTAATCAGGACAGACCACGCCCTCTATCTTCCGTCTTATTGGTCCACGACTTGCTATTTTTAGACACCAGTGTACATTGATTTTTTTCTCTCTCTACACTAACACATAGATGTGCAAGACACTAAAGAGAGGTATCGTCACATCATGGGTATCGATACCTTCAAATGTGTAGCACAAGAGAGAGGTATCGTCAAATTCTCTGTATCGATACTATCAAGATGTGTGACACTCGATCGAGGTATCGTCACATCCGGGAAATCGATACCCTCGCCTTAAACAATCCCCAAAACACAAGTGTTCAATAGAGGTGAAGGACGCCAGTGGTACCATATCTAGTTAGTATCCATTGAGTGGCTCTAGACGTGTGATGGTTGGTGAACGGGCCTGACCTGACTCTACACCAGCATTAACCTCGCCCGTCTCTTGACCCCCCCCCCCCCCGCACAAAGCCGTCCCCACGCTCAACGACACGACTCACCAATCTTGCACAATTCTTGCACCCAACGCCCGGGGCACTCCGGCATTGCATTACACCGTCAAGTGCTGAAATCCAGCACCCGCACGGGCAACAACCGGCGCGGCTTAGCTCTAATCGGCTAATCGGGGGTTCATTAATCTTTATAATCAGTCTACATCTACACTCACCAAGTCTTACACTGAAGCTCTTAAACCGTCCGTCTACAAGTACTGCTCCAACATTCGAACAGAAATTAGAGTTCCAAGACTCGAACAAATTTCGAGATTTTAGTACGAGATATATTGAATGGCCTACAATTTGGAAGGAATCACATTCTTTTAAACTAGTTGATTGTCACTTTTAAACTAGTTGATTGTTACTTTTAAACTAGTTGATTGTTACTTTTAAACTGCAGCTACATAGGCTGTTAGGCGAACATCGAATGGGCAAAGCCCGAATATACTTACTAGCTGATGTTATTAGAATCAAACTGTTCTCAGATCGAAATATCCGTTTTTAAATCTAGGATTTTAAAGTAGAACTTATAATTTTCGTATACCTTGGTAAGAGCTGGCGAATTTTTCCACAAATAAGCTATCGTGGATTAGCTACATGTAAGGCGGGTTTATGCTACATTTGGGCTGCCGATGTTAAAGGTCAGGGAATTTTGGCTTGAGAACGGTCAGAGAAAACACAACATTTGGAATTATCTAATAGTTCTTTAAACTTTTGGACGTATCTAGCAGCTCTGTCAACTTTTGGACGTATCTAGACGGACTGTCAACTTTTGGGCGTATCTAGACGGACTGTCAACTTTTGGGTGTATCTAGCTGCGCTGTCAGCTTTTGGGCATATCTAGCTGCTCTGTCAGCTTTTGGGTATATCTAGAAGTTCTGTCAACTTTTGGACTTTTCTTGCAGTTCTGTCAACTTTTGGACGTATCTAGTAGTTCTGTCAACTTTTGGACATATACAGCAGTTCTGTCAACTTTTGGACGTATCTAGTAGTTCTGATAAATTTTGGAGATCTCTGTACAGTTTTGCAACTAATTGAATGCCAAGTGGCATGAGGTTTGAACTGGCCCCAGCAGCGCTTGGATTGATTAACTGGCCACTCTTTGGCCCGCCGTGTCAGAAATGGAATCATCTCTTCACCTTATTGTAACGATTACCTGCGAGCCCCCTAGTTAAGATGGTCTTTGACTGGTACCAGCTTCTGTGATTCACACACGTCAATAGATCAGCTTAAATCTGCTCACCATTTAGGTGGAAGGAAGGTTAATGAAAACATTCGAAACACTAAATGTCTGATTTTTATTTTAATCTCTTTTCTTGGAGTATCCTCTCCGCCCCCCCCCCCCCCACCCCGCATTAAATTATTCTCCCTGTTCTTCTAAGCCCGATGAGTTTTACAGTTACATTTACATTACCCAGGGGTGTATACACCGCCTTGTTAACAATATGTATACAACTTGCAGTATGTAACAGGATCAATAGGTTACACACACACACATACACACACGCATACATAAATAGACAGCCAGACACACACACACACACACACACACACACACACACACACACACACACACACACACACACATATATATATATATATATATATATATATATATATATATATATATATATATATATATATATATATATATATATATATATATATATATATATAATATTGGAGTAGAAACTGGCGCCTTGTAGTGCACTCGTCGCTCCCTCTACACTGAAAACCTGGCTACGCCCCTGACCCCCCCCCCCCACCCCCCCCCCCCACCCTACCACTGCCGTAAAAATAACTTTCTCCCTGTAGTCGGGCTGAGGGGGCGACAAGGTTGAAATGCAAATGTGTGTTGTGCCATATATTGTGGGTTTTATTTACTGTCGCGTTGAACGCATCTAGACGAGAAACTCAGCGCAGTGTAGCAGGGTAGGTATGTGGTGTGTCGGAGCTGATATTCTAATGGACAGGACCTTATGAGTTATGTGACCTAATGTTACCTAACGCATAGGACTGAATGGACAGGACTTTGTGTATTCCGTGGCTAGATGTGACTTCATGTAAGGGATTACATGCAATGTTCAAGTATGTCTAGGATTACCTTTGTCACTGTAAGATATAATGTTAAGATGAGCGTTATTAATTTTTAACTGCTTGAACTACCAGACCACAACAACCATTCAATTAATGCGTTGTCTAACAGTCCTACGTTTTGAACTGTAGGAACAGAATTTGTTGGTTGTAATTTCAGTTTTGTTTTAACTACCGGTAGTCTAGATGATAAGCTATTGTTGGGTTAGTGGCCCTAACTAATATGGAAGTTAAACTGTAGTGCTAATCCTTATTGTGTTTAGAATTTAAACTGTTGTCTACTGACCGTAGCTAGTCTAGATGTTAAACTGTGTAGGTTACTCGTCTTGTCAAGATGTTACAAGTGTCGTCTCCTGATCTTGTCAAAATGTCAAACTGTAGTTAGACAACTGGTCATGCCTAGAAGTTAAACTGTCTACTGGTCATGTCTAGAAGTTAAACTGTCGTCTTTTGACCTCTACTTCTTCTTCATTCGTTCTTAATTTTTAGTGTTGGAAGGGATCGAACTCGTGACTTTGGTTTAGCAACCATGAGCTTTTACCTACTCGACCACGCCGACCCCTTTCCAACACGTGTCAACTGGTTATGCGCCGTTAAGGCCATTGACTTCGATTTCAGCCTGCTTTTCTTTTTGGATTTGCTTCCATAGCCTTTGTCCAACCAAGAACAAACTACAAGTTAGCAGTTGTTTGATTTTGGAGTTGTCTCTCCTAGAAGAGTGGCTGTCCCAAGCTAACTAACCTCATCTGCCCGAGTTGTCTCTGCTAGAAGAGTGGCTGTCCCAAGCTAACGAACCTCATCTGCCCGAGTTGTCTCTGCTAGAAGAGTGGCTGTCCCAAGCTAACGAACCTCATCTGCCCGAGTTGTCTCTGCTAGAAGAGTGGCTGTCCCAAGCTAACGAACCTCATCTGCCCGAGTTGTCTCTGCTAGAAGAGTGGCTGTCCCAAGCTAACGAACCTCATCTGCCCGAGGGTTCGAACTGAGTCCGAGGCAGACAATGCGCCGTACGTTGCCACAACCCTCCTGTAAGTCTATGAGTCTGGCGCTGGTTAGATAGTACCAGGAAGATAAGACAACTCTCGGTCACTGGGGAATATGGTTCTGTGTGCATGACGGGCTCAAAGATTTAACCGGTTATACGGTTGTTTGCATAGCCATCAAATCTATCGGGCCATACGGCTATCGGTACGGTTGTGAAATCTGTCCGGTCATACGGCTATCGGTACGGTTATCAAAGTTAACCGGTCATACGGCTATCGGTACGGTTGTCAAATCTGTCCGGTCATACGGCTATCGGTACGGTTGTCAAATCTGTCCGGTCATACGGCTATCGGTACGGTTGTCAAATCTGTCCGGTCATACGGCTATCGGTACGGTTATCAAAGCTAACCGGTCATACGGCTATCGGTACGGTTGTCAAATCTGTCCGGTCATACGGCTATCGGTACGGTTGTCAAATCTGTCCGGTCATACGGCTATCGGTACGGTTATCAAAGCTAACCGGTCATACGGCTATCGGTACGGTTGTCAAATCTGTCCGGTCATACGGCTATCGGTACGGTTATCAAAGCTAACCGGTCATACGGCTATCGGTACGGTTGTCAAATCTGTCCGGTCATACGGCTATCGGTACGGTTATCAAAGCTAACCGGTCATACGGCTATCGGTACGGTTGTCAAATCTGTCCGGTCATACGGCTATCGGTAAGGTTATCAAAGCTAACCGGTCATACGGCTATCGGTACGGTTGTCAAATCTGTCCGGTCATACGGCTATCGGTACGGTTATCAAAGCTAACCTGTTTTGCGACTATGTGAAATTCCATCAAATATGTAACGGTACAATTAGCCGTACGGCTATCTGATCTGCCGGTTGTACGGCTTTTTATAAGGGTATAAATCGCTTCACAATTAGTGTCTTTGCATGTTAGCTTACATCGTAGTCATCGCTGATCAAAGCTTTTACAATAATTTGTCAATTCTGTTACACTTTAATTTTGTCAAATCTCTTACAATTTCATTTGTCAAATCTCTCACACTTTCATTTGTCAAATCTCTTACATTTTCATTTTTCAAATCTCTTACACTTTCATTTTTCAAATCTCTTGCATTGCTAGTTTATTATTACACATCAACTATTGCTACCAAATTCAAAATCTGCCACTAATATATATATATGTTACGGTCAAAGCCCGAAGTCGGCCAATGCTAGGATTGGCCGGCCAATCCGCGCATTGGCCAATATCGCCTCCCATAGGTCGGTCAAAGTCCGAAACTTTGCTTCATTTCGGCCTTTGGCCGGCCAATCCGCAGACTGGCCATTGTGGACCGGCCAAAGTCTGAAATAGCTCTTGATTTCGGCCTTTGGCCGGCCAGTCCCGGCCAGTCCGCGGACTGGCCATGGTGGACCGGCCAAAGTCTTAATTAGAAGATCATGAGCAGTTTTTTGTTTTTTTTTATGCCGGTAGGATCATGAAATTAAGTCTTTATTGATTATTAATTAAAGTAAATGACAGAAACATTCAAATTTTTTATTGTACTATAGTCTCAATCAATCATTATTATAATTTGTTACAACAAGTTGAACTTTTATGGCATTTAGAATTACATAGCAGCTTGTTATTTTTACACTTGCAGCGATTTGTTGTGCACTTGGTTGTGCAATTGCAGCGAGTGTAGCCTTGGCCCCCAGTCAATGATTGTGAAGATGCGATGGTTCGTAGTGATTTTTCCTCAGTGCCAACTGACGACAATAAGAGCAGTTTTTCGTGAAGAATTGAAAACTCACTTCTAGTATACAGTTGTTTTAGAACACCATGTTCCGTTCCTAATTTGTAGAAACCGCCCTCGACGCTCATGACAACTGCAATCACTCTTCGGGGATCACCGTGACCTCTGTCAATATCTGGAACACGGATGCGTACATTGTCACCCACTTCACCATCTTTAAATTTTGTATTTGATGTTTTAAGCATCTTAGCACCTTGATTTTGCAAGCCAGTATGAGCTGCTGACCTGTGTTCCATGATGTCTTGTTTGTTGTGACACAATCTGCAGGTAATGTTCCCTTTGTACCCTTCGTCTGCTTCATTGGGTACACCACATATAGCATGGACATCTTTGCCACAGGATCCACAAGAATGAGCTGCACTACAATGTTTTTCACAAACTATACAGAATCTGTTGGCCACATTATTGTCACGCAACTGGTCTGGACGTTCCGCCACGGCAGCAGATATGTTAGCTGAGGATGTAGTTGCATTTATGGCAACCTCCATTTCTTGTTGGGGAAATTTGGTTTCTGACGCCCACGCCCACGCCATCTCAAGTCGCTTGGACACTATTGTTCAACTTACAAGGAACGCGGCAAAGTCTTTTGAACGTTCCGTCTTGTTGCACGTGGTCGGTGACGCCGACTGTCTTTGATTTTGTTCTTTGATGATTGTCTCACCTCGTCATCATAGAGGAGGCTGTCACATACAGTTGTAGCACATATAGGGAAATCAACATGGATTGATCCATGTCGCCTTGCATATAGAATGCTATACAAACAAGAGCTAAAAAATACGTTACTCACAATGAAACCGCACCCAGAATAATGAAAACGCGATCACAACTTAGTCTAGATAGAACATTGGCCAGGACATCCCGGCCAATGCACGCATTGGCCGGCCAATGTACAAAATACGCTGTCAAGTTTAAGCATTTCGGACTTTGGCCAGTACGTCCCGGCCAGTGCGCGCATTGGCCGGCCAATGTACGAAATACGATCTTAGTTCTAAGTTATTCGGGCTTTGGCCAAGAGAGCCGGCCAATCCGCGCATTGGCTGGCCAATCCGGGGTTTGGCCGCACTTCGGGCTTTGACCGTAACATATATATATATATATATATATATATATATATATATATATATATATATATATATATATATATATATATATATATATATATATATATATATATATATATATATATATATATATATATATATATATATATATAAACATTACTTAGTTAAATTAAATAAACCAAACTTGTGACGTTTTTAAGTTTTTAGAAAACAAAAAGCCTAAAAACGTTTAAATAACAAGCTGTAATACAATAATGCACCAAAAAGTAGAAAATAAAAGATCTAATTTTCTGCCTTCTGTCAAATTTTGAGTAATTTCCGTTGACCGGAAGTAGTAATTTTCTCTATTTCCGATTTCTCAAAAAACGCATGTGAATTTATAAAGTACTAATAATATTCCGCACTATTATACACATCTTTATTCGGCGTTCGCTTGGTGCGCAATTCCTTTTTCTACGAGATTCTATTCTATTTTTAAAAGTTTATGTATTTAAAAATCATGTCTAAATTCCGAGTTGCCATCCCACGTAGTGTTATATAAGAATATTCGAGAAAGTTTAGGGGAGACCACTCCCGGTTTATTTAAATATATAATAATAAACTACTATTAAAAAAAACTAAAAATTAAATCGTGATTCGCAATAATATTATGATTTACTAGATTTAAGCAGCAACCACCGCTTTTATTTTTAGTTATAAATAGTAGCTCTTTATTATATTAAATTTAAAAAAAAATATTTTATGGCATCCTTACATGAAAGCTTGTTATTAAAACAATTTTTATGAATTTTTTTTTTTACTTTGAAATGTTTAATACAAAAGAGTTGCATTACTAAAACCAAATGCACGCCACTTAAACACGAAACATATGCATATAATAGCGCGGTAAATTGTACTTTATATATGACATTTTTACTTTCTCGTATACATAGTATATAGGTAGTGTAACCGTGCACAAATATCACATGAAATTTTGACAGTTTTCATCGTTTTACACCTCAGTTCTTCATAACATACGGAGTATGGGGGACTTATTATAAGGGGGCAAAAATAATAAACGCAGATTTATCAAAATTTCAGCGTTCTATGTGTAATCGAGTAGGGAAAACTGGGCTTAGCAATTCTGTCCGTATATCTCTGTGTGT